AAACAATAAAAAAAATAAAAATAAAAAAAAAAATTTTAAAAAAAAAAAAAAAAAAAAAAAAAAAGAATTATATAAAATGGCCAATTTGACAAAATTAAGTGGCAAAAATTCGTTTTTTTTTTTTTTCAAATTGTTATAAGTAACACTGATGCCCTTAATTATTACGCACTTTCTTTAAATTTAAAACTGTCAAAATAGTGTTTTAACACAAGGCTATCTTCACTTTAAGTGGCTATAAAATGTTACCTGGAAATGATCTAAGAATTGTTGCATGGTCATGTCTCCATCAACTTCAAATCGGTCCCAAAGTGAGAACTCTGTATCATAGTACTGGGGAAAAAATTACAATCAAGTTCAGTTTTTTTAAGCATCAACTTCTATCAAAAAAGTAAAATCAAACAATTTTTGTTTGGACAAAAACAAAAAACATAGCCATGTCCATAGTCTATCACCAATATCCCACTAAACAAATAGTGACTCAATTGGTTTAACCACAGAGGCTGCCAACTTTACATCTTTATACAGGAAAGCAGCACCACAAAGGCTGCCGACTCCACACCTAACACAGTCATTACAATGCTATGCAACTAGTATGGATTTTCACCAACTACCAAGCTGGTTGCTCACCTTGTTTTTGGGAGCTGGGATGGGTTCAGAAAAGCCAAAGAATGGCAATGCTAAGTTAATAAAACCATTCTTGAAGCTTTCAAGATTCTTGTGGCCTTGGACTAACTAAATAAATAAAAACAATATCGATGTCATTTTAAGTGCATCAAAAAATCAATATTCACATTCTCCTCGAAACATTTTTAAGGTTTCAATATGAAGCATCCTCAGTTAACTACTTAATATATTTTTCTTCATTGTGTGTAATGCAAAAGAATATAAAATCATGCAAAATTGACTGAAATTTAACCGATGCATTTTTTAAGTTATCAAGCTAGTACAGTTAATCGAATTGAGACAGCTTAGCAAAGATATACACAGTATATCAACTGGACACTGATCTTTATAAATTTTATCAGGTTTACCAAAGAACAACCAAACTTTACCAAATATAACAAGACCAAAAGCTCACCTTCAACATTTCCAGACAGACTAGTCCAACAATAAGAGATGTCGTGGTGGCTATAGCTGGGATAATCTTTCCTGCAATTAATTTACTCTGAAAAAGAAGGTGAAAGTGGTGATTTCAATTGTTTTACATACAGATAGAACTGAACATTTCTTGATAAAACTTGAGAGAGAGAGAGAGAGAGAGAGAGAGAGAGAGGGAGAGAGACAGAGAGAGAAGGAAATAGGGGACTTAAACTTGCACACACTGACGAGACTCCAGACGCACCTTATGCCTATCAGCAGGTGGGATGTCGTAGTTTTCTGCTCGCAAGTTGGACGCAGCCACAATAAAATCCATGTGGAAATTTGTATCATCATCTTTTTCAAAATCTAAAGGCTTAATAGTCACACCTTTCAGGTCAGACACTGCAGGAATCTTCTTCATGAACTCCTCAAACTGATCTGCATCTACAGAAAAAAAAAATCTCATTTTCAAATCAACTCAGCACTTAACCCCATCAAATGGTAAGTACAGAATTTCTTAACAGCTATAATGCCAATGTACCATTGAAAATACTTCAATAATTTAAGGACTTCAGTGATAATCAAAATTTTGCACCATCATTAAATTTCTAATCCAATACACCAATTGCTATAATACTTTCTATGGATTATCATCCAAAGGCCACAAAATGATGTTTTTTTTAGGAGGCATGAAACTGATGCATACCAACGCCCTGATTTTGATTTGCTTGTAATTCAGCGTCAGTTGTTTCTATGGTGACTCCAGACTTGGGCTCAAATTTGGGGACTACCACTTTGCTAGCCATCTTGGCCACTTCTGGCCTACTTCTATTCTGAGGAAAACCGTACATCTCTGCTCTTAGGTTTGCTGCAGCAAACACAAAGTCCAAATGGGTTTCCTGAAAACAAATGTAAATCTTCAGGACTTTTGTACAACAATTATGAACAATTCATGAGCCCAATGCAAATTCTTTCAAATCAAATTGATTTTACTCTTACTATTTTAAATTTTTTACAGTTAAATATTTTGCTGTACTTGCACATAGTTACCATAAAAGTGAAAATGCTATATATATATATATATATATATATATATATATATATATGGCATGTGATTTCACAGATAATAAAGGTAATATCTTATTTTAACCTAACAGCTAATTGCTCGTTAAAGATATAACAAATTGGCTATAAATATTAAAATATTTACTTTCTCCAGTCAAAGCAATTCACCTATCTTTATAACTAGCACAAAACAAGAAACCTAAAATACTGACCACATTGGCATCAAACTCCAGAGCATGTGGACACCTCTTGGGTCCAGACCAGAAGGGCTGACCTGAGGAGGTGACCTGGTCAGCAGGGAAATTAAACAGGAGCTGCCTGATGGTGTTATTGAAGTGAAACTCAAACAGATTTCTGGCCCACTTCACACAGTCCTCAAACGATGTCGGTCTCTCGTCAACTAAGGCTTTCCTGACATCTTCCATTGTTGCCATCTAAAAGAGGTAGAAATAAGTGATCGATGAAAAAAATTTTTAGCCTTTTCAATTCAAACTTTAAAACTTTGCATTTTCTCATACTCCAAGGTTCTCAGTCTAATAACCTTTTACATTGTTCATTAAAGCTGGAATAGTTCACCTTCGACCAGGAACAGTGCTGCATGTTTTTATCTAGACAATCATTTTCTCTACATCAATCAGTAAACTTTTTTACAGTATATCTTTTTTCTTGTTTTCCTGCAATAGGCAAATCATTTCTAGCAGTAACCAAAATTTTAACACACCCCCCCTTAAGCCTATATTAAAAAAAGTTAAGAGCACTGAAGATTAAGACTGATAATCCCCTTACTGGCTGTGATCCCTGCAGCTTGGACACTCTCTCTACAAACTTGGGGTCAGTCAGGTACTGGGCAGCACTCTCGGCCTCCTGGGTAAACAGACCCTCAAACCGGTCTCTAGCCCACTGCAGAAAAAAAAGAAAAACATCAGGAGGCTGCTCTGATAAAAGTTCTCCAGGTCCAGACCTCAGCTCAGACTGGTAACTTTAGTAATGGTCGGCTAGTATTGTTTAGGCACCGATGTGCATTTTACTTTTTGTCTTGTAAATTTTCATCTGATGAAATTTGCTGAAAATGGTACCTATTTGTACAATATGACAAACTGAGAAAACATTAAAGCAATAGTTTCTTTAATAAACCATTGAGGCACCTAAAACAGCAAAGGGAATAAAATTCATTCCCTTGAATTGAAATATCTTGCTCTCAATGAAATTAAAATATTTTTAAAAAGAGCAATTTCTGTCATGGATATCCATCTTCGTGTACTTACCTGCAGTGTGTGTTCTATGGCATTGGGGAAATTCTTCAGAGTACATATAGGAATGGACTTTTCTGGTGGATCTTGAGACGAGGAGTATGATTCTGTTAAGTGAGGAATAACCACCTGAAATAATACAACATACCTTTCATTTTGTACTGAACATCATAAATTTTTGAATATTTCTCATATTTCTGCTTTGGTAGCAGCATTATCAAATCTAATTCCCACTTAATATTCAGTTTCAAATATTCCAACACTATTTCTTGCAACTATATGTTATGTTTAAGTTAATATTTCTAATATATTTCTTTTTTTTAAATAATAATTCAGTGTACTTGTACATATCCTTTGATTCACAGGGTTTCTCATACAATATATCTTTCATAATATGGGTATATTTTCTCTGGTTCACAGGATTTATCATATTTTCTTTTTATTATAATACTATAGCAAACCTGGACATTTTCTTTGGATCTCAGGGTTTATCATATTCTATTTTCACATAATACCCCACCCTGAGCTTCAGAGATAACGTGACACTAACCTCTTCACTATAGACTATCTTCATCGTGTCAAGTTACCTCTGACCACATTGGATTGCCCGCACCGCCCGCCAATCAAATTTTAAGCCCGCCCTCAATGACTCATTGAACGATCTAGCCAATGAACACGAACAAGTCAAAGGGCACTTTGTTCAAATCTGGACCAATCAAAGATAAGGCTGAATATCAGGGACTTGCCGTAACCTGTGGGCAGCACACAAAATAAATCATCCCTCAGTAGATAATGATGCAGGGCCTCAAACTGCTCTGGTTTCAATTCCAATATACTCATATTTTGCAAAGAATCAAGAGATAACGCATTCTTTTACATAGTCACTCGTAGGAGATGACATGCTTTCTTTTGTGTACGGTTATGCGGACGCAACGAAATACAAGTTTCTCATTGGACATAATTCTGGATTTCACCCAATCAGCGTTTTCACCATACTTTGGTGAAAAATTTTGAAACATGGATTCAATTGGCTTATATAAACTAGGTCAAACTATTTTCGTCAGAGGTAACTTGACACGATGAAGATAGTCTATAGTGAAGAGGTTAGTGTCAAGATATCTCTAAAGCTCAGTGAGATAATACCCCAGCTTACCTGTACATTTCCTTTGGTTCCCAGAGTACCAGACTCCAGTAGTGGCTTCCTATAGAACACACACCTCCTGTCCATGTACATTCCTACAACACAAACCAAACAGAAAGTCCATTCATTTTAAATTCCAAAGTTCTGTTAAAGCTCATTTAGACTTATAACAATTTCAATTTGGTAATCAGAAGCCCAAAGTACTGCAATCTGTCTTCTAAAATCTATTTTTTCTGGCAAAAAGTATTTGATGCAGTATCACCTGACCTATGACTATTAAATCTTAAGAAAGGAGTGATTTTAATTGATCCCCAAATAAGCAGATCTGGATCAAATGAATCCTGTGCAAGATAAGACATTCCTTACCAAAAAAAAAAAAAAAAAAAATTCTGCACTTACTTGCATCCACATTATCTAAAGCATTCGCCACTCCATCTAAGCTTTCAAAGAACTTGTCATCGTATATATTCTCTGTGTCTGGCCCTACCCTGTTCTCATGAGCAGTTATATGGATGGCAGGGTTCATCTGCTTGACTGCCTGAGCTGCTGTGGAGGACTTAGTTTTCTGATTTCAAGGGTTGAAAAATACATATATTTCAATGAAATAATTGAAAATAGGACTGTTTTTTATCAAAATCTCACATCAAAATGTCTGATACCCATTTTCTTTTCTCTACAAACTACTACATTCTGTTCAAGTTAAAGTGCTGTTCTTGCCATTTTTACAAGGTTTTAATTTTCGCTACAACAGCAAACAGAAAGAGTTCCCAGTTTGCTCAGTACCTGTACATCCCAAGGCCTGAAGAGGAACTGTCTGTTGAGATTGGACTTCTCAATGGTGTCCATATCAGTGACCCAAACATGGCCATCTTCGTTAGCCGCCACGCCCATCAGGGCCCAGTTCTTCAGCATCTCACAGCCTATGGCTCCTGCCCCAACCTGAAACAGTACAGTGACAAGTTATCATCATAATCTCCATACCATCATCATCATCATCATCAGTCCTACTGAAGTTGATTTCTCACTGGTATAATTTGTGCTTTGGATAACTCAAAATAAATTTCTGTCTGCTTACTTGATTTTGCTGAAGAAATTATTTTTAACTTTAGTCATTTTTTCTGCAGTCATGAAGTGTTGGTATTCAAACTACAAGGATTTCACCTAGTATATCTACTCTTATCTAATCCCCCTTTGTTTTATTTCCCCTTAAATTTAAAAGTTTAAAAACTTCAATAATTTAAGAACAATCTGTCTGGAAATACTCTTTGTAAGAAATGAAAATGATATATTTCTTTTATCTACCAAATTAACATACCAGGAAATATTTTTGTGAGCCTAGTGTTTTCTGAAATTCATCTCCAAACACTGCAATTTGAGCATCATATCTGCTGTTTCTCTGTGGAAAAAATTGCAAAAAATAAATGTTAACAGGCTACCACAACAACCACACATCCTTTTTACGAAAATATTGAAGGTTGACTGCAAATATAGCATTTAAAGGGGTTAATAAGGCTCCCTAGAGATTTTCCAAACTTCACAAGATTACATAGTGACAAAGTATGACCCAACTCCTGTTAGTGTACCTTCAATGGACTGCGAGCAGATAATTAAACATAATATACTCATTATCAAACAGTATTACTGAACTTACTGGTTTACACATCTCCTCTGTCAGAACCTCATCAGCATTTTCTGGTAAACACTCCAAACCATCAAAATACAGCCACTGCTGAATGGGAGTGAACTTGCCACTGCATGCCTAAAATATAAAGAATGCACTGAGAAAAATACAACACCTTCAAACATTTGTATCACTATATCACTACTGCATAACTACTTAGGATATCTGAAGACAGCCAATAAATGCACAAAGCTTAAACTTTTATATCTAAGATTTTCACAAGTAACAAGAGTTTTTATTTTGACCATGACAAGTCATCATGGTACTCTGTTTAGTCTTTGGCAGAAAAAAAAATGCCACAAACAAAGTTGGAAATGTGAGTAGGAACTGTCAACACTTTTCACTTTCTAATTTTTTCCCCCAGCAATTCCCTTGTCCCATCATGCCCATTACCTTCATCACTTCCTGTGCAGTAATACCACCAATCACAGCGTCCATAGGACACAGATCACCTGCAGCCTGGTAGGCAAATGTCCTCATCAAATCACTGTCCAGTTGGTCAACCAGGGACATCTCCTTGATTTTCTCCTCCCTGCACATAGTCAGGAACTCCTCAGCATCAGCCTATATAGCAAAACAAGAATATTCTAGAGATGTTTTTTCCCCCAAATTTCAAAATACGAAGATTTAAACATGGACATCCACAATACAGGCTACAAACTGGATTAATTTAAACCCATTTAAACACTGTACCTTTTTTCTTTCTTTTTTTCATTGTTATTTTTCAATCAGGTCAAATAAAAGTAAATGGAAAACCAATCAATTATACTATAAGCAAATAAAAGAATCAATAGATGAATAACCTTAAAGTACAACATGACTTTCTTAATGACAAGGCTATATTTAATTCACATTAAATCACCTTGTTTCTTGGTCTTGGTAAACGCTTTTCTTTGGCAACAAAGTCATGCAAAGCAAGGAAGGCCAGATGCAACTGGGCTGGTCTATCAAACTTGGCAAAGTCAGTCATAACAAATTCTGGGCTGTCTTTCGACACTCTCATTGGTTTCTGAAAAATAACAAATTTCCAATTTTAAAGAAAATCTTTTCCTCTGTAATACAACATAAATAAGGCAGCTACCAGTTATCACTCACTGGTATCAACAGCATTTACTAGTACATAAACAAAGTCTTTCCCCATGTACCAAAAACCAAAACTACTTTTATGTTGTCATGGGTTACCATCTACAATAATCTAAGTTACAGAACTTTCAGCAAAGTAAGTACAGGCTGGTTCTTGTATGTTATAACCCACTCTGTCACAGTGCAGTTTGAAACATAAACCAATAAGAAAAGCATATTTTTGGGCCCCCAATTCAGACTGGATGTAGACATCCTCATCTCCTAGAGGACAATTCAGCACACTGCATTAGTAGTTAAACTTACAAAGTGCACAGTTTTTGGCATCTTGGCCTGAGTGACAATACCACCTCTGGTATAGTCGGACATTCCAGTAGTGTCACCAATACTGAAGGTGTACGGACCTAAACAAGAGAAAATACAGAATAAAAATAAAGTTGATGAGTACAACATAAATCTTATGAAATCTATTTACCTCTTCTTGTAAGTTCTACTCAAATACATACCAAAATTTTGGACTTTGTAAATTGGGCCTTATCAGACAATATGGAAATCCAAACTTCAAAGTTTTTCCACAAACGTAATGTTTAAACCACCAAAACTATCTGACAACCAACAATCTTGCCCTTGAACTAAGGTAAAATTCTGAGATACTGCAGCTTTACCTAGAACTGTGATTTTCCTGGGTTCCGAATCATTCAGCTCTGTCATTCCTTGGACTTCAGAAAACGTGACATAGTCCCCATCTTCATAGCCGTGGCGACTTTCATCCAGACATGTCACCACTGCATTTTTGTCCTGGAAGATTACACAACATGTCATTTCTTAAATATTGAAAACTTCCTTTTTGACATCAAAGCAGGAGTTGAAAAGATAAAATTGAAAAGATATTATTTGACCTGTATACATCTTAAATCTCAACTTAGAAAGCAATTTTACATATGTCATGCTGTTAACTTTCTTATCTAAAGGGAGGTATACCTATCTGGGATCCAATTTAAATGAAATGAAAAAGCACAATAATTCCATTCAAATATTTTTTGTACTCTATCAATAACATATTTGACCACAAAGAGTAAGCAACCTCATACTTTTTAAAGCCTAATTTGATGTTTAGAATTCTGCAAAAAATTTACAATGCTAAAGTGAACATAGCTATGTATCACAATTATTAAAGAAACAGCAAGTTAAAAAAAAAACTTGACAATCCTCATACCTTGGTGATGGCAGATATCATGTTGCTGACTGGCTGTTCACCATTGGTGTCTGACACCACAAACTGCTCACCAAAGTCACAGAATATTTGACTGAAATTTATAAAACAAAGAAAACTTTTATGCAGCCACTTCAAATTATATTCACTTGGCATGTGTCTCACTTGTCGTATATTACTTGATCAAATGCACAGGTAGGAACATGCTAACGAATTTTCTGTTCATCTAAACATAGGGAAGAAAGTTATTCCACAGTTTCACACAAAAAGACACCCAACATGTTTAAAACTTGAAGAGACATTTATGGATATTTCACCTAAATTACAATGCAAAACATGGATTGATAACAATAGGTAATCTAAATACCAAAGCAAACTGTTATTCATATTCTGATTAAAGAAAGAAAAAAAAAAGAAAATTTACCCAAACAGTCCCCTGGTGTCTGCCACTATGACTCTTATGTTTTCCTTGTGGCAGAAAGCATCTATCTCCAACTGCTCCTTCAGAGGGGTGTTGGTAAGGACTACAACCTGAATCAAGGTAGTATTTCTTAACAAAAAATCTGTTAACAAATTGCCAATATACATACTGCTTTTGCAAGATAAAGATATAACACTCCCATGTCTTCAAAACAACTTTTTTTATTATTCAACCTGCTCCATTTCCTCAAAANCAGTCTTTTGTCCTTGAACTTGACCCAGTGACCTAGTTCTTTGGGAGGTTGTACTTAACATAGGGGACCTCTACATCTTCTCCCTCTGTGTCATTGCAGCAGATTTCCAGAACCAGAGAATTCATATATGCTGGGATCTTCTTCTTGGAAACTTTCTTTACAACTTCTGAGAGGCTATAAACCACAAAATGAAAAGTATAATTGCAATTCCCTTCAATTAAACAGACTCAAACATTTTTTCCACTTCAAGCTAAAATGCCAAAGTTTGCATTCAATCTATCATAAACCAACTATGATGCTCAAAAAATAAATTAAATATTCAATAATAAAAAAAAACAAACAAATAAACAACTTATGAAACTAAACATCAGTATGGGAAAAAACAAGAGGATCATACGTACGGCATTTCCATCCTTTCCTTTCTCTTAGCTGGTGGCATGAAGAACGAGTACAGCATGCACACTCCCTGGGACAACATAGTGATCTCTAGATTGTACTTTTCCTGAAAGGTGGAATTAATTGGTAAACACAGAACAGTCAAGCAAATTAATATTAAATAAATTCTGAAAAAAAAAAAAAAAAAAAAAAAAAAAATTATATAAAATGGCCAATTTGACAAAATTAAGTGGCAATAATTTGTTTTGTTTTTTTTTTAATTGTTACAAGTAACACTGATGCCCTTAATTATTACACACTTTCTTTAAATTTAAAACTGTCAAAAAAAGGCTATCTTCACTTTAAGTGGCTATAAAATGTTACCTGGAAATGATCTAAGAATTGTTGCATGGTCATGTCTCCATCAACTTCAAATCGGTCCCAAAGTGAGAACTCTGTATCATAGTACTGGGGAAAAGATTACAATCAAGTTCAGTTTTTTTAAGCATCAACTTCTATCAAAAAAGTAAAATCAAACTTTTTTTTTATTTGTTTGTTTGTTTGGACAAAAACAAAAAACATAGCCATGTCCATAGTCTATCACCAATATCCCACTAAACAAATAGTGACTCAATTGGTTTAACCACAGAGGCTGCCAACTTTACATCTTTATACAGGAAAGCAGCACCACAAAGGCTGCCTACTCCACACCTAACACAGTCATTACAATGCTATGCAACTAGTATGGATTTTCACCAACTACCAAGCTGGTTGCTCACCTTGTTTTTGGGAGCTGGGATGGGTTCAGAAAAACCAAAGAATGGCAATGCTAAGTTAATGAAACCATTCTTAAAGCTTTCCATATTCTTGTGGCCTTGGACTAACTAAATAAATAAAAACAATATCGATGTCATTTTAAGTGCATCAAAAAATCAATATTCACATGTTCTCCTTGAAACATTTTTAAGGTTTCAATATGAAGCATCCTCAGTTAACTACTTAATATCTTTTCTTCATTGTGTGTAATGCAAAAGAATATAAAATCATGCAAAATTGACTGAAATTTAACCGATGCATTTTTTAAGTTATCAAGCTAGTACAGTTAATCGAATTGAGACAGCTTAGCAAAGATATACACAGTATATCAACTGGACACTGATCTTTATAAATTTTATCAGGTTTACTAAAGAACAACCAAACTTTACCAAATATAACACAAGACCAAAAGCTCACCTTCAACATTTCCAGACAGACTAGTCCAACAATAAGAGATGTCGTGGTGGCTATAGCTGGGATAATCTTTCCTGCAATTAATTTACTCTGAAAAAGAAGGTGAAAGTGGTGATTTCAATTGTTTTACATACAGATAGCACTGAACATTTCTTGATAAAACTTGAGAGAGAGAGAGAGAGAGAGAGAGAGAGGGGGAGAGAGACAGAGAGAGAGAAGGAATTAGGGGACTTAAACTTGCACACACTGACGAGACTCCAGACGCACCTTATGCCTATCAGCGGGTGGGATGTCGTAGTTTTCTGCTCGCAAGTTGGACGCAGCCACAATAAAATCCATGTGGAAATTTGTATCGTCATCTTTTTCAAAATCTAAAGGCTTAATAGTCACACCTTTCAGGTCAGACACTGCAGGAATCTTCTTCATGAACTCCTCAAACTGATCTGCATCTACAGAAAAAAAAATCTCATTTTCAAATCAACTCAGCACTTAACCCCATCAAATGGTAAGTACAGAATTTCTTTACAGCTATAATGCCAATGTACAATTGAAAATACTTCAACAATTTAAGGACTTCAGTGATAATCAAAATTTTGCACCATCATTAAATTTCTAATCCAATACACCAATTGCTATAATACTGTCTATGGATTATCATCCAAAGGCCACAAAATGATGTTATTTAGGAGGCATGAAACTGATGCATACCAACGCCCTGATTTTGATTTGCTTGTAATTCAGCGTCAGTTGTTTCTATGGTGACTCCAGACTTGGGCTCAAATTTGGGGACTACCACTTTGCTAGCCATCTTGGCCACTTCTGGCCTACTTCTATTCTGAGGAAAACCGTACATCTCTGCTCTTAGGTTTGCTGCAGCAAACACAAAGTCCAAATGGGTTTCCTGAAAACAAATGTAAATCTTCAGGACTTTTGTACAACAATTATGAACAATTCATGAGCCCAATGCAAATTCTTTCAAATCAAATTGATTTTACTCTTACTATTTTAAATTTTTTACAGCAAAATATTTTGCTGTACTTGCACATAGTTACCATAAAAGTGAAAATGCTATATATATATATATATATATATATATATATATATATATATGTATATATATATATATATATTTGGCATGTGATTTCACAGATAATAAAGGTAATATCTTATTTTAACCTAACTTCTAATTGCTCGTTAAAGATATAACAAATTGGCTATAAATATTAAAATATTTACTTTCTCCAGTCAAAGCAATTCATCTATCTTAATAACTAGCACAGCACAAGAAATCTAAAATACTGACCACATTGGCATCAAACTCCAGAGCATGTGGACACCTCTTGGGTCCAGACCAGAAGGGCTGACCTGAGGAGGTGACCTGGTCAGCAGGGAAATTAAACAGGAGCTGCCTGATGGTGTTATTGAAGTGAAACTCAAACAGATTTCTGGCCCACTTCACACAGTCCTCAAACGATGTCGGTCTCTCGTCAACCAAGGCTTTCCTGACATCTTCCATTGTTGCCATCTAAAAGAGGTAGAAATAAGTGATTGATGAAAAAAAAAAAATTTTAGTCTTTTCAATTCAAACTTTAAAACTTTGCATTTTCTCATACTCCAAGGTTCTCAGTCTAATAACCTTTTACATTGTTCATTAAAGCTGGAATAGTTCACCTTCGACCAGGAACAGTGCTGCATGTTTTTATCTAGACAATCATTTTCTCTACATCAATCAGTAAACTTTTTTATAGTATATCTTTTTTCTTGTTTTCCTGCAATAGGCAAATCATTTCTAGCAGTAACCAAAATTTAAACACACCCCCCTTAAGCCTATATTAAAAAAAAGTTAAGAGCACTGAAGATTAAGACTGATAATCCCCTTACTGGCTGTGATCCCTGCAGCTTGGACACTCTCTCTACAAACTTGGGGTCAGTCAGGTACTGGGCAGCACTCTCGGCCTCCTGGGTAAACAGACCCTCAAACCGGTCTCTAGCCCACTGCAGAAAAAAAAGAAAAACATCAGGAGGCTGTTCTGATAAAAGTTCTCCAGGTTCGGACCTCAGCTCAGACTGGTAACTTTAGTAATGGTCGGCTAGTATTGTTTAGGCACTGATGTGCATTTTACTTTTTGTCTTGTAAATTTTCATCTAATGAAATTTGCTGAAAATGGTACCTATTTGTACAATATGACAAATTGAGAAAACATTAAAGCAATAAGTTTCTATAATAAACCATTGAGGCACCTAAAACAGCAAAGGGAATAAAATTCATTCCCTTGAATTGAAATATCTTGCTCTCAATGAAATAAAAATATTTTTAAAAAGAGAAATTTCTGTCATGGATATTCCTCTTCATGTACTTACCTGCAGTGTGTGTTCTATGGCATTGGGGAAATTCTTCAGTGTACATATAGGAATGGACTTTTCTGGTGGATCTTGAGACGAGGAGTATGATTCCGTTAAGTGAGGAATAACCACCTGAAATAATAAAACATACCTTTCATTTTGTGCTGAACATCATAAATTTTTTAATATTTCTCATATTTCTGCTTTGGTAGCAGCATTATCAAATCTAATTTCCCACTTAATATTCAGTTTCAAATATTCCAACACTATTTCTTGCAACTATATGTTATGTTTAAGTTAATATTTCTCATATATTTCATTTTTTTAAATAATAATTCAGTGTACTTGTACATATCCTTTGATTCACAGGGTTTCTCATACAATATATTTTTCATAATATGGGTATATTTTCTCTGGTTCACAGGATTGATCATATTTTCTTTTTATTATAATACTATAGCAAACCTGGACATTTTCTTTGGATCTCAGGGTTCATCATATTCTATTTTCACATAATACCCCACCCTGAGCTTCAGAGATAACGTGACACTAACCTCTTCACTATAGCCTATCTTCATCGTGTCAAGTTACCTCTGACCACATTCGATTGCCCACACCGCCCGCCAATCAAATTTTAAGCCCGCCCTCAATGACTCATTGAACGATCTAGCCAATGAACGCGAACGAGTCAAAGGGCACTTTGTTCAAATCTGGACCAATCAAAGATAAGGCTGAATATCAGGGACTTGCCGTAACCTGTGGGCAGCACGCAAAATAAATCATCCCTCAGTAGATAATGATGCAGGGCCTCAAACTGCTCTGGTTTCAATTCCAATATACTCATATTTTGCAAAGAATCAAGAGATAACACATTCTTTTACATAGTCACTTGTAGGAGATGCCATGCTT